TCCCTCAGACCCTGGAGTCCAGACCCCCAGCACCTCCTCTCAGACCCTGGAGTCCACACCCCAGCCCCTCCTCCCTCAGACCCAGGAGTCCATACCCCAGCCCCTCCTCCCTCAGGCCCAGGGGTCCAGACCCCCAGCCTCTCCTCCCTCAGACCCAGGAGTCCAGGTCCCAGCCCCACCTCCCTCAGACCCAGGAGTCCAGGCCCCAGCCCCTCCTCCCTAAGACCCAGGAGTCCAGGCCCCCAGCCCTCCTCCCTCGGACCCAAGAGTCCAGGCCCCAGCTCCTCCTCCCTCAGACCCAGGGGTCCAGGCCCCCAACCCCTCCTCCCTCAGACCCAGGGGTCCAGGCCCCCAGCCCCTCCTCCCTCAGACCCAGGGGTCCAGGCCCCCAGCCCCTCCTCCCTCAGACCCAGGAGTCCAGACCCCCAGCCCCTCCTCCTTCAGACATGGGGTCCAGGCCCCCAGCCCTTTCTCCCTTGGATCCAGGGACCTCCTCCATCAGACCCAGGACTCCAGGGCCCAGCCCCTCCTCTCTCAGACCAGGTCCAGGCCTCAGCTCCTCCTCCCTCAGACCAGAGTCAGCCCCACCCGTCCTCCCCGGCCCCGGCTCACCATGCGTGTCCTCAAGGGCCTGGATCATGTCGGGGTCAAGTGCCGTGCTCACCAACATCTCCACGTAGCTCCGGTACATCTCCCGCATCGCCCGGGTTTTCAGTAGACGCCCAGGCACTGCCCGCTCTGCGGGAAAGACAGGGAGAAGGCTCATTATCCCAACTTCTCCAGAGACCTCCTATGTGGCAGATGCTGTTCTCAACACTGGAGACCAGGAGAGAAATCCCTGCTTTAGGGAGGTCCAAGTCTGCTGGGAAAGACTGACAGGCAAGTGCCAGTACCACGTGCTCTCGAGGCAGAATCAAAGGCACTGCAAGCTTAGGTAAGGTGGGTTTGGTGGCTCATGCCTGTAATCCCAGCACTTTGAGAGGCCGAGGCAGATCACCTGACGTCAGATCGAGACCAGCTCGGCCAATGTGGTGAAACCCTGTCTCTAATAAAATAACAAAAATTAGCCAGGTGGTAGCGCACGCCTGTAATCGCAGCTACTCAGGAGGCTTAGGCGGGAGGGTCATTTGAACCCAGGAGGTGGAGGTTGCAGTGAGCCAAGATTGCACCATTGCACAGGCTGGGTGACGAAGTGAAACGCATCTGAAAAAAGAAAAAGAGAAACTCACAGGACCAGGTGCAATGGCTCACACCTGTAATCCCAGCACTTTGGGAGGCTGAGGCGGTGGTTCACGAGATCACGAGTTCGAGACCAGCCTGGCCAAGATGGTGAAACCTCGTCTCTACTAAAAATACAAAAATGAGCTGGGCATGGTGGCAGGCACCTGTAGTCCCAGCTACTCAGGAGGCTGAGGCCAAGAACTGCTTGAACCCAGGAGGCAGAGGTTGCAGTGAGCTGGGATTGTACAACTGCACTCCAGCCAGGGCGACAGAGCGAGACTCTATCTCAAAAAAAACCGGCTCACAGGAGGCATCAGGTCAAACAAAGGTTGAGCCATGAGGGACAGCTCAGAGCACTTAACTGTGGCTTCACTTAAGTCTAAAGAAGCCGCATTGTTGGTTTCCAAAAGAGCGAATCCGGTCACAGAGGTCAGATCATAAACAGGCAAGGCTGAGGGAGGAGATGGGAGCTGGGATTGCACAGGTCAGTGTAGGCCGGACGTACTGGGCCTCCAACACGAGGCAGAAAGGGCAAGGGCTTTTTCTGGTGGGTACTAGGGAGCCATGGGAAAGCTGAGAGCAGGGGAGGGGTGAGTACAAGTGTAGAAAGACCCCTCTAAAGCCAAGTTGGGGATAGACTGGAGGAGAGAGGCTGAAGTCCATGCTGATGGACCAGGTAGGAAAGAGGAAAGGTAGAGCAGGGCTGGGAGCAGAGGACGGGGCTGAGCTGGGCAGGCCTGGGAAAGAGTGGACAGCATGGGGGCGGGCAGGGCTAGGAACTGCCTAGTTTTGGGGCTGATAGGTAGAAAAGGAAAAGAGGAGGGCCAGGAGTGGTGGCTCACGCCTGTGATCCCAGCACTTTGGGAGGCCGAGGTGAGTGGATTGCCTGAGGTCAGGAGTTACAGACCAGCCTGGCCAACATGGTGAAACCCTATCTCTACTAAAAATATAAAAATGAGCCAGGCATGGTAGTGCACACCTATAGTCCCAACTACTCGGGACACTGAGGCAGGAGAACCGCTTGAACCCAGGAGGCAGAGGTTGCAGTAAGCCTAGATTGTGCCACTGCACTCCAGCCTGGCGGACACAGTAAGACTCCATCTCAAAAAAAAAAAAAAAAACCCAAAGAAAAGGAAAAGAGGTGAGGATCCCCCTGGGAAGTCTGATGGCCAGAGGTCCAATCCCTAAGAGCCTTTTATTTTCCATATATCTCCCTGCTACATCAGGGATTTTTTTTTTTTTTTAAGACAGAGTCTTGCTCTGTTGCCCAGGCTGGAGTGCAATGGCACCATCTCAGCTCACCGCATCCTCCGCCTCCCCGGTTCAAGCGATTCTCCTGCCTGAACCTCCCAAGTAGCTAGGATTACAGGTGCCCACCACCACGTCCAGCTAATTTTTTTTTTTTTTTTTTTTGAGACGGAGTTTCGCTCTCGTTACCCAGGCTGGAGTGCAATGGCGCGATCTCAGCTCACCGCAACCTCCGCCTCCTGGGTTCAGGCAATTCTCCTGCCTCAGCCTCCTGAGTAGCTGGGATTACAGGCACGCGCCACCGTGCCCAGCTAATTTTTTGTAGTTTTAGTAGAGACGAGGTTTCACCGTGTTGACCAGGATGGTCTCGATCTCTTGACCTCGTGATCCACCCGCCTCGGCCTCCCAAAGTGCTGGGATTACAGGCATGAGCCACCGCGCCCGGCATCCAGCTAATTTTTGTATTTTTTTAGTAGAGATGGGGTTTCACCATGTTGGCCAGGCTGGTCTCGAACTCCTGACCTCAGGTGATCTACCCTCCTCAGCCTCCCAAAGTGCTGGGATTACAGGCGTGAGCCACTGCGCCCAGCCTCACCAGACATCATTGTAAGCTCTGGGGATGTGGCAGTGTGCCGGGCAGCCGTGGAGTACACAGCAGTGTCTACCAGAAACCAGCACTGTCCTGTGAGCTTCGTCTCTTATGAACCCATTTTACAGGTGAGGTCACTAAGGCACAAGAGGTTATGCCTCTTTCTCAGCGTCAGCCAGGGCCTCACAGGAAACCCCACCGTCACAGAGCCTCCAAGACAGACATCTAGTCCCACATCTTCCTCAGCCCCTAAACCCTGCCTTTTACAAGGCAGAACACAGCACTGAAGAACAGAGTCCAAGGCACCTTGGGCTCAACTGCCACCTGGTGAGCACCGAATACAGACTGTGCTGCCCTCTCTTGGTGCTTCGGTTTCCTCATCTGTAGATGAGGATAACAGTAGCCACCTCCTAGGATGGGTGAAAATCACACAAATTAACATCCATTAGGTTCTTTTTTTTTTTTTTGAGACAGAGTCCAGCCTGTTGCCTAGGCTGGAGTGCAGTGGTGCGATCTTGGCTCTCTGCAACCTCTGTCTCCCAGGTTCAAGCGATTCCCCTGCCTCAGCCTCCTGAGTAGCTGGGACTACAGGTGCACACCACCACGCCTGGCTCATCTTTTGTATTTTAGTAGAGGTGGGGTTTCACCATGGCTGGGATGGTCTCGATCTCCTGACCTCGTGATACACCCGCTCAGCCTCCCAAAGTGCTGGGATGACAGGCGTGAGCCACCGCGCCCGGCCCTCGCCAGGTTCTTGGGAGGCAGCCTGTTGTGTAGTCAGATGCCCCATGACTGTCAGCTATGGCCGTTATCTGTAACATACTGGTTGTTGCTGTCCTGCTGAGGCTACCTGGAGGTCTCTGGACAGCCCTCACCTATGTCCCCTTCCCATCCATCCACCCTGCAGCCCTCAGTCTGCCTGGAGCCTCACCGTCCTCGCTGGGGGCTCCGGGAGAGGACTCCGAGTCTGAGGAGCTGCCTGGTGGGGCCCCGCCTGCCGCAGCATTGCCCCCTGCCTCCTTCAGCCATTTCTTCCTCTTCTTAGGGGGCGGCTCAGCCTTCACCTTGGTGGGCCGGGCCTTAGGCAGCCGGGAGGTGGCAGGCTGTCCCGTGGCGAGACTCCGCTCTGGCCGCGTCTGCCTTCCGCTGGTGGCCCGCTCGCCCCTCAGTGGCCGCTCCCCACGTGTCACCTTCTCCTTCTCCTTTTCCTTCTCCACAGGCCGCAGGAGGGAGGGCTTCTCAGGGGCAGGGGGCTCAGGCATGGCTGTCTCAGGCGTCTGCTCTGGGGGCTTCTCAGATGTTGTCTTTTCAGGGGTCTCAGGCTTGGGAGGTGGTGCTGGGGCCTTAGGGGGAGGTATGGAGCTACCCCCAGCAGATGTGGGGTTCTTGGCCTGCCCGGAGCGTCTAGAAGGGAACAGAGAAGGGACTACAGTCAGCAGCCCCCAAGAACCCAGATTCTTCTCCTTAGGACCCCTGCTCAGTGCCCTAAGCACGGAAACGGCTTCTCTCATACTGTCCCCCTCTCTCTCTGTGTATCTGTCCCCCTCTCTCTCTGTGTATCTGCCCCCTCTCTCTCTGTGTATCTGTCCCCCTCTCTCTCTGGGTCTCTGTTCTCCTCTCTCTCTAAGTGTCTGGGTCCCTGTATCCTTCTCTGAGTCTCTGTCACCCTTTCTCTGGGTCTCTGTCCTCCCTGTCTCTGTCCTTCTTTTTCTATGGGACTCTGTCTCCTTCTGAGTCTCCGTCTCCCACATGTCTCTGGGACTCTGAACCCTTCTCAGTGGGTCTCTGTCCCCTGCCTCTGGGTCTCTGTCCTTTCTCTCTGGATCTATCCGCCTCCTCTCTCTGGGTCTGTCCCTCTCTCTGTCTGGGTCTCTGTTCCCCTCTCTCTCTAGGTGTCTGGGTCCCCGTATCCTTCTCTGAGTCTCTGTCCCTCTCTCTCTGGGTCTGTCTCCCTCTCTCTCTGGGTCTCTGTCCCTCTCTCTCTCTGGGTCTCTGTCCCTCTCTCTCTGGGTCTCTGTCCCTCTTCTCTCTCTCTGGGCATTTGTTCTCCCCTCTGTGGTCTCTGTCCCCTCTCTCTGTCCCCAACCCCCCAGCCCCCTCTCTCGCATGCTCCATCCCCATGCCCATCGGTGCTGCGTGCTGCCTGCCCCGGTGTCCCCGTGGTTGGTACCTGACAGGCACTGGGGGTCGATGCCAGGGCTTCCGGGCACAGACCCTCACGTAGTCCTTCTTATTGACGTTTTCCAGGAACTTTACATAGAGGCGCTGGTACCGATTTTTTGCGTCCCCAAAATACCCCAAATACTACGGGGAGAAAGAGGCACATGAGGAAGTTCTTGACACTGCCCAGCTGGATGGCCAACACTCCCGCGCCCTGGGCTCCCTGGGCAGCCGCCCGGAGCCTGCCCGCAGCAGGGGGCCCCCTTCCAGAGACACCACAGAGCAAGTCACAGCCACGCTAAGGGAAACCCCAGCTCTAGATACCCCGCCCCGGGCCCCCTAAATCCTTGGTTCCCTTTGCCGGCTTACATTACTAGTGGCACAAAACTGCCTCTGGCCGTCCTTGATCTCCGGAGTGAATTTCTGCAGAAGGGCCTTCTGGACTCGCCAGATGGGTGGGGGTTCGCGCCCCGTCTGCAACGCCAGCTGAGGAGGAGGGGTGTGGTGAGGCCGGCAGGGTCAGCCCTCATTCCTGTAACTCTTGCCCCTACTCCCCAACCCACTGGCCTCCCTCAACATCCCCTTTGAGAGAAGGCAGAGACAGACCAGGCATGGTGGCTCACGCCTGTAATTCCAGCACTTTGGGAGGGAGAGACGGGAGGCAGGACGGAAGGTCAGGAGATGGAGACCACCCTGGCCAACAGGGTGAAACCCCATCTCTACTAAAGAAACAAAAATTAACCGGGTGTGGTGGCCTGTGCCTGTAATTTCAGCTACTCGGGAGGCTGAGGCAGGAGAATCGCTTGAACCCGGGAGGTGGAGGTTGCAGCGAGCCAAGATTGCACCACTGCACTCCAATCGGGCGACAGAGCGAGACTCCATCTAAAAAAAAAAAAAAAAAAAAAAAAAGAGGCAAAGACACTCTTTCGCCCAGGCTGGAGCAGAGTGGCGCAATCTCAGCTCACTGCAACCTCCACCTCCCGGGTTCAAGCAGTTCTCTGCCTTGG